ATCTTGGGCCACACTGCTAACGCTCCTGGTGCGAGACCTGGCCGAGATGCGGAGCCCAGACGCCGAGGCGGCCGTGCGCAAGGACAGGCTGCACCCGAGGCAAGGTAACAAGGCTCTGGACCCCGGGACCCCACCGCCACCGTCGCCGCCCCCCGCCCTCCTCGCCCGGGCGGGGGCACCCCGCAGCGAAGGCCCCCCTCTCTTTCCCCTTTTCCTCGAAAGAATTATCTCCCGCTTTGCAGTCTCTCTCTCCTTTGGGTCATTCCCAGCCAATTGCTAGGAAGAGACACTGGAACGAACTCAGTCACTCCCTCCCCCCTCGGCTTTAGCCTGATCTTTCCCTTCCCCACCCCCATGCCCCAAACCAACGTTACTTAGTAACCTGAAGGCACCGGATAGCGGCATGTTTTATTTTATTATGCGTATTTATCAGGAACTGAAATTATGTATTTTGACTTGTTCATTGTCTGACTCTGAATGGTGTCTCCTCGGCGCCTAGCACAGTTCCTGTTGTTACTGGAGCATAATAGATGCTCAGTAAGTATTTGTCCACCGAATGAGGGTCAAGGAGCTGACTTGAATGGGCAGAAAATTCTGGATAGTAAATCAGGGCAACCCCTCCACACTTTTAAGTCAAAATTTGCGGGAAACTGTATTGGTTCATGTACCTATGCTTCTGTCTGCAGTGAAATTATTAGAGACCCTGAGCGAGTATGAAATCGCGTCTCCCATTCGAGTGAACGCTCTCGGAGAACCCTTTCCCACGAACGTGCACTTCAAAAGAAGGCGACGGAGCGTTAACTCTGCCTCTGACCCCTGGCCTGCCTTCTCCTCCTCCTCTTCCTCCTCCACCTCCTCCCGGGCGCATTACCGCCTCTCCGCCTTCGGCCAGCAATTTCTATTTAATCTCACCGCTCATGCCGGATTTATCGCTCCGCTGTTCACCGTCACCCTCCTCGGGGCGCCCGGGGTGAACCAGACCAAGTTTTATTCCGAGGAGGAAGCAGAACTCAAGCACTGTTTCTACAAAGGCCATGTCAATACCAAGTCCGAGCACACTGCGGTCATCAGCCTCTGCTCGGGAATGGTAAGTGGGCGCGCGCCCCTTCTCCGGCCCCTCCTCTCCCCTCTCTTCCGCCTCCTCGCCCTTCAGAAGCATCCGCTCCTTGAAGACTTAATTGCTCTCTAGGCTGGAGACTCTCGCTGCTCCCAGGCTCCACTCCGGCGTTAAATAACAGCGCAAAACTCGTTCGCGTCCCCGGGTTTGGGTGGTCAGCTGTGTGCGTGCGCTTATACTCGCAAGGAGCGCAGGCATCAGCCCCCAGGGGGTTCTCCCAACTCGGCTCAGCTGCGCATTGCCCAACGCTGCGAGGCGGCCGGGAGTCGGTTTCCTAACTCTGAGAAAGTTGCTAGAGTTGCCGTTCCTTGCAGCAAACTTGGCCGCCCGGGAGCGGAGCAGTTGAGCGCAGGGTTGACCTGACTCCTTATTAGCTTTTTGAGTCAGGAGTGTGGGCTGAGGATCCCCGGCCCAGGGTACGGGGAGTTCCTCGTGTTGTTGTGGAGGGCGGTGCGTAATCTAGAGTCCCCGTGTTCTCTTGGGGCCTTTTTTCACGCGCCAGGAGCCCTGAGGCTGAACAGGATTGACAAGGAGCTGGTCCCGTCCGGGAACGGAAGGGCGGGCCGCAGGCTCTGGGGGCGGGGAGAGGGCGGAGCCTGCCCCGGACGAATTGCATTAAGGTGGAAGCGGGGGTGGGGGCGCGGCGCAGTGCGACTCTGCACCCTGCTGGCGGGGTGACCCAGAGAAGGTGGAATTGGGGGAGGCTGCCCGGACGTGACCGGTTTTCCTGGGGTTTCCGCCACCCATGGCGTTCCAGAGAGCCGGGAGGGGGAGCCTGCGGCGCATATTTCCCCAGCGAGGGAGGCGAGAGGGCGGGGCGGCCACCTCCCGGCCCTGCCAAACACTTAGCAGGGGATCCGAGCTGGTACTGTGGCCTCCTGCTTTCTCCCCTGCCTCTTGCCCACCAGTAGGTCTTACAGGGCATCCGTCCCTTCTTCCCATGACATTTCAGCACCCGCTTGTAAGGTGCTGGCTCGTGTGAGGGTGGTCCTTGACTTTCCCAAGCGACGCGCGTTGCAGCAACGCGCATATGACGCAGAAACTTTACAGGGCCAGGCTCTGCCGACGCACGGCGCTGTACGCGCACCGGGGTCTAACTGTGCTCCCGAGTGGTGCGTTTACCTTCCTCTGAGCGCCCACACGCCTCCCGTCATCTCTGCCAAGTAGTGGTTTGGCTACTTACCCAGGGCGCTCAGCTGTGTGCGCTGCCATTCGAGGGTCTAGAGTTTCTTGTCTGGATGCCGCGTCCATCTCCGCTGTGCCACCGAGGGGTCGGCTGGAGAGCGAGGCGAGCTTGAAGGCTGGACGAGGGCAGGTCTAGCCTGCTGAGATATGTGGGAGGGGGTAAGCCCTTTTAGCCCCCAGCTAAGCGGTGGCAGCCGCGGCGCTCTGAGCGCGTTGTTGAGATTGGGGGTGGGCGGAGACGGCAGTTTGGCGAAGGGGGAGGGGGTGCTGCTGTGAGTCATCCCTGCCCCGAGACCTAGGGCCAGAGCGCAGGAATTCCTTCCATTCTTTGGAAGGTTATGGGCCGGTAGGCAGAAGTCGGGTGCCTAAACTCGTCCATCAGAGAGCCCCGGATGCCAAGAGAGTAACCCCCAATTCCAGCACCTTACGGATAGAGCTGTGCTTGTACGTCAAGTTTATAAACAGTCTTTACTCCTCCTCCCTCCCCGCCTCCACAGCCCGCTGAATCCTAGTGGCCCCGGCAGTTGTATTAATATTTTGCTGCTCAGGAGCTTAATTTCTATTGGCGATTTTTAGATGGTAACGCGCACGTGGTCTCGTGGCAACGGAGGGCAGGGCTTCGGAAACAACCGCTCGGACATTAATAACTCGATCTACAATGCATTTAATGTGCAATCTGCCTCTTTTGGGGGGCGGGGGGAGAAGGTTTGGCATATATATTAAAGCATTGTTCGCTGGCTGTTTGTATCCTTAGCCATGAATCGAGCTCCAAAACTCCCGTCCCTTTGTCTTCCTTGTAGAATTTATCTTTCCTCCCAAAACTTTCCCTTACCATTTCTGTAGCAGGAAACCTTTCACTCCTCAGAGTGGGCCATGTCAACACCCCCCCCCCCACCACCAACGCCAGCACCGCTAGTTCTGTATCAGGTTGTTTGAATTCCATCTCAAATGTCATAATCACCTCTCCCTAACATCACTGCCCTAAATCTAGCCTTCTTTGCTTCTTTCTCTCTCATAGGACTGATGCCAAGAACTGTTTTCATCTGGCTGCTTCTCCTGGAGTCTTTTCTCCCCAGTCCATGCCACACGCTACTAGCAGACTGTTGGTGACTAGAGCGCATGGTAGTCTGTTGACTACTTTGCACAGCTCCCGTTTGCCATGTGAACAAACATAAACTCCTCTGCCTGTCACCTAAGACCGTTTACAATGCACCCTCTCACTCCACTCACATACACATGTCCATTCTCCTCTCTCGGTCTTTGCTGCACAAATCCTGTATTCCAGACGATCTGTTTTAGGCCCTTTCCCTGAATTCACTGTCATCTTCGCATCCATTCATTTCCTGCCCACATGGTAGTTTTGTATATTGTGGGTGTTCAGTACAGCCCTTTGAGTAAATGGTCCCTTTAACCAAGAAAGGAGAAGTCTTGGGCCCAGCAACTCATTGGTGAGTCGACGACAAAGTTAATCTGGTGTCACACCGATTCCGTTTGTTGAGTTCTTATGCTGTGCCTGACGCTGTAGTAAGTGCTTTACACTCACATGATCACTCAAGTCCTCACAATAACCCAGTGAGGTGAGCACTTTGTGATCCCCGTTTTACAGATGAGGACACCTAGGCTTTGAGAGTTTGAGACTTGTTCAGGGTAGTAAGTGGCAGAGTTGGGGTTCCAGCCTCGTCTTTCTGACCTGTGCATGCTCTTAACCACAGGCCGGAGGCTGGGGCTGTGCTCCGAAAGAGAACTCCGTGGTTCTTTTTTAAAAGACACTGGACTAACACCGGGTACCTGAACTCCAGGCTTGGTACTGGCGCCATCGAGCTGCTTCTGCACCACCGAAGGGGAACTTTGCACAAGTCACTTTCTTCTTTGGGACCTCAGTTTCCCCATTTACCAGTCAGAGGTGCCACGTCTCCACCAGATGAGCTGCCAGGCCCTTTCCCAGTATTTCTGGTCTGTCTCTGTTGGTTTCGCACACCGCAGCCTGCTTGCAGCTTAGTGCTCGGAGAACACCAGAGATGTATGCTGCAAATAGGCGGAGGTCCCCGGGGGAGAGCAAACTTGTTAAAGCTCTTTTCTCTGGTAACCAGTTACTCTGTCTCCTAGTATGACTACACCGGTGTCGTCCTTTCCTTAAACCAGTGGTTCATGAGGAGAGTTTTTAAAATACAGACTCCAAACCCTACTCCCTAGAATGTCTGAATCTGTGGGTATGGGGTGGTATCCCCAAATCTGAGTATTTTTTAAAAACTTCCCAGGCAGTCGTGACATTAGCCAAGTGCTTCTTAGACTTCATCAGGCAAAGAACACCCCTGAGGGCGCCACCCCCGATATTTTGGTTCGGTAGGTGCGATGGTTCAGGGGCTAACATGCTCAGCTGCTCACTGAAAGGCTGGAAATTCAAGTTCACCCAGAGGCACCTCGGAAGAAAGACCTAGCAATGTACTTCCGAAAAATCAGCCATTGACACCTCTGTAGAGCACAGTTCTACTCTGACACACGTAGGGTCGTCATGAGTGGGAAGAGACTCAATAGCAGCTGGTAAATTTGGGGTGAAGCTGCATTATTTGAATTTCTAACAAGCTCCTGGATGATGCGGATGTTGTCACTGACATTCAAGGACAGTCATTTCCCTTGTGCTCAGGGGCAGATAGAAGGCGTCTGATCTTTTCCCACTGTGTGGAAAAGGTGCAATGGAGAAGAGAGAAGAACTTTTTTCTCCCCTTAAGCATTGCCCACCCAACATGGCATGGAGAACTTTTCTCTGTTCTTACAATGTTTGGTTTGAGTGGTTCCGCCTTGAGGTGTCGTTTATCATTTGCAAAGCTTGTGGAGATATGTGGAGGGAAGGAGAAAGAGTTACTTCCCAAATTACATCCTGGTAGTTAGAGGCAGAGATAGGAACTGGCAGGGGGCAGCTCCCACACGATGCCCTCCACGCGCTATAGCTAATGATTAATTAGTCTGTTAGACCCAGCCACTTTTCCCACTTATAACACCAAAACCCACTAATGTCTTTCAAGCCCCTGATAGGTACCGGGCACTTCGCTAAGCACTTTCCACGCATTATCTCATTTAATCCACACAATAACCCTTTGCAGTGTTTTATCCCCCGTGGATATATGAGGCAGCTGAGGTGCAAAGTGGTTAAAGCTCAAGGTGGGTGAGCAGATGGTGGTGCTACAACTGGGCCCTAGGGCTGTCTGCTTTCACAGCCGTGGACAGTATCACTTCCCTGCTGCAAAGGGAAGGGTGATGAGCTGACCGTGTGCCAGTGTTGGAGGTGGCACCACCTGGAGTGTATTGTGGTCAGCATATGCTTCCTGAATTTGAATCAAAGAGAAGACATCTAGCGGCCAGCTTTTCTCTTTAGAGCTCACACTGCTCCAAGTTTCCAAGCTGTCTTAACATGCAGAAACACGCTCTTTCAACAGCCTGTAGGAATTCACGTGGTTAGAACTGGAGCACCAAGGAAGTATTTCTCAGAGATGGATTCGGATAGCAGGTACAGTCAACTAGAGTGAGATCAAGGAGGAGGTCATTATCAGGCAGAGGATAAACTAAGCTGCTTCCCGCATTGTGTCACGGCATTTTCGGTTTAAGCACCCCTTGTGAGAAAGTGGCTGGATCTAAGGGCACCGTCTCTCCTCGGCCCTGTCCCATTGTCTTTTCCCTTCCAGTTGCTGAGCTATAGTAAATCAACCTCTCATCTCTCTCCATTTGCAGCTGGGCACATTCCGGTCACATGATGGGGATTATTTTATTGAACCACTGCTGTCCATTGATGAACAAGAGGATGAAGAGGAACAAAACAAACCCCACATTATTTATAGGCGCAGCTCCCCCCAGAGAGAACCCTCAACAGGAAGGCATGCGTGCGACACCTCAGGTATTTGCTCCTTGCTTAGGCAGAGATCCCAGCTCCATCAGACGGGTCGTTTGTCTTACTGCAAAGATGTAGCTCTTTTGCAGGCTACAAAGCAATACTATGTACTTTGTACTTTATTGAATCTTCGTGTGAGGTAGGTATACATACCCCCTTTGTACAGATGCGGAAGCTGAAGAGGTTCAGTAATTTATCCAAGGCTACACAGCTGTTAAGTGACAGAGCTAGAATTTGAACTCCAAAAGCAGTGGCTCTAAGCACACCATGGGCAGAGCTGCCTCTTTTGTTGAAGCTGCTGATGTTTTAGATTAAGCTCAGGGGCAGATTATCAAACAGGAAAGGTAAGCATGGTGCTTACTGTGCTTACCACATCATCTGCAGTGAACAATTTTCACATCTTCGATGTGATGAAAACCATGTGAAATTGTTCACTACAGATTAGTAAGCACAAATAAGCCTGTGCTTACCTTGCTTACTGGGTCATCCACCCCTTTCAGGGATTGTAAATTTGAAAAGAGGCTTTGATTCTGTAGGAAGGTGCTGTGGGGTTGGGAGAGAGACAGATGCCAGCCATATCTAGAAGCAGAATCTTCGATGTGGTGAGAAAATGTCAAATTGTTCACTGCAGGTGACCTGGTAAGCAAGGTAAGTGACATGCTTACCTTGCCTATTGCATAATCCACCCGTGGTTAAGCTTGAGTCAGGTCTCCGGGCTGTTATAACAGTATCTTCAGTCAGCGGTTGCTTGCTTTCTCTTGGTGTATTCATGTCTTCTGTTTGTTTTGGATTTTTGGTTTTTGTAATCATACAGGGTTACAAAGAAGTCTTACAAATGAAACTCACAAAAACGTCTATGTATTTGTTGGAAATTTCCTATCAATGTCAGTACATATTGTTAGCAAGGGCTGTGGCTTCGGTAAATACAGGGACCGACCTGCAGGTTGCACTCTAGATGTTCAGGCAGATTCTTACGTGTTCACCAGTAGGTTTTTGTCCATCCTGAGCAGATTCTTTGAGGCTTTTTGAGAATATGTTCGGCCTCTGTGGAGGCTCTGTCATTCTGGCGACCTTGGGAAGCTTTTGCGCGTCTGTTTCTCAGTCTGTCTTGCCGTGACCCTTCACTGTCTGGAAGTCTGCTTCTTTCTAACTGGTGACCTTATCAGTGGAGACTGTCACTCAGTTTGGTCCTGTCTCTTAGCACGTTTGTTAAAATACTGTCTTTAAAAAAAATATTTTTGAACTTCTAGTTTCTAAAACTTTATTCTTCTCCATATTGTTCTTTTTTTAAAATTGCTTCCCCAAATTAAATAGCTTCTTGGGTGGTTCTGGTATCTTCAAACAAGACCAAATTTCTGGACCAACAGGAGGTTTCCTAAAATGGTTCCCAAATGATGGTTTGTCTTCAGGAGGGAGTGTGTTGAGGGACAGTTATCCCAGCAGATTCTACAGTATAAAGACTGCCAGCCACCAGCAAGTTTAATGGACAAGACATGTTATCACATGTTTTACCATGTTAGTGAGACCATTAACCTTTACTTCTTGACTTCCCAAATAACAAGTGCGTATTTTATGCATGTGTATAAATATATATATAGTGATAGGAAATATGTGATTCCTCCCCTTTCATCTTATTAATATATGTTTAAAAGATACTCAAATAATATTTTCCTCAATCAGTTAGTTGAACAGTAGGGTTTTGTGACATTCTTCTGCCTTGCAGTGTCTCCAAGCCAACATTTAAGAAACTGTTACAGTCTTATTCTGTATTGGCATTGTGCGAAGAATGTCACCTACACTTCTTCATTTAATCTTACCAACCTGCGAGATGGGTACCATCCTTATCTCCCTCATACATGATAAAGAAGCTAAGGCTTACGGTGATGAAGTAACTTCCCCAAGATCTCACAGCTAGTCCACGACTCCAACCCACGTTTGTCTGTCTTATTCCATGATCTGTTTTCTCTGTGCACACGTGAAGCACATGTGTATGAGAGAGAGACAGAGAGAGATCTTAATACTGTCATTCAAAACGTTCTCAAGGCTCATCTTTTAAAATTAAGTACCCAAATCTTTGGACATATGATTTTGCATTAGAGGACAAGTATGATCAAGTCCTGTTAAAAACGCAAGCAAGAGAATACTAAAGAGGTAAGAGTTGAAGACAATGAAAGATGACTTGATTTTTCAAAAAAACCTAATTTGGGTTCTAGTCATTATTGATATTGGGGGGTCTTTGAGTATCACCTTCCAAATCCCAGGGCCATTTTTTTAGTTTTTCTTCTGGTTTTTGCTTGCCACTGATCACTACGGCATGCCCTTCCTTCACGCTGTGTAATGAGTCAGGAGCCCAGCAGTGTTGACTGGCCCTTCCAAAGGTTGCTGCTGGAATTTGCCACTCTGGTTTCTCTCTTCCAGCTGCTTCTACACCCCTTCTTTGAATTCAGAGGCAGGAGGCTCAGAATAGTTGGAAAGAACTTTGGAATATGGCACAATTCACCAGCAGCTATTAGAGGGACGGACCAGCAGGTCACGGAAACCTCTGAAACCAGGTAGCCTTTGCACAGGGAGTGAACATAGGTGGGGGTGGGAGTAGTCCCTTTTGCCAGAGATGATGAAAAGGGCTGTGTGCCAATATCAGGCCATTCAGTTTCAGTGATTTCCCCCCAGAGCAATGGTTGGTAGCCAAGAGTCAGTCTTAGAAGTACCCTGGGAGCTTCATACAAATGCAGATTCTTAAAAACAAAACAAACAAAAACCACTCCCGGGCAAATAGAATGGAGCTAGCAGTGGTTTAACCGTGATTGTGATGTTCAGCTAAGTTTGAGAGTCACTGCTATGGCTGCGTTTAAGGCAACAGCCACTGTTCATCACTGTTGTTGTTGTTAGGTGCTGTCGAATCACTTCCAATTCTAGCGACTCTGTGTACAACAGAACAAAACACTGCCCAGTCATGTGCCGTCCTCACGATTGTTGCTATGTTTGAGCCCATTACTGCAGTCACTGTGTCAATCCATCTCATTGGGGGTCTTCCTCTTTTTCACTGACCCTCTACTTTACCAAGCATGATGTCCTTCTCCGGGGACTGGTCCTTCCTGATAACACGTCCAAAGTACATTTAAGATGAAGTCTCACCATTCTCCCTTCTAAGAAGCATTCTGGCTGTACTTCTTCCAAGACAGATTTGTTTCTTCTTCTGGCAGTTCATAGTATAGTCAATATTCTTTGCCAACACCATAATTCAAAGGCATCAGTTTTTCTTCAGTTTTCCTTATTCATTGTCCAGCTTTTGCACGTGTATGATTGAAATACCATGGTTTGGGGCAGGCACACCTTAGTCCTCAAAGTGACATCTTTGCTTTTGAACACTTTAAAGAGGTCTTTTGAAGCAGATATGCCCAGTGCAATATATCGTTTGATTTCTTAACTGCTGCTTCCATGGGCACTGATTGTGGATCCAAGTAAAATGAAATCCTTGACAGCTTCAGTATTTTCTCCATTTATCATGATATTGCTTATTGGGCCAGTTGTACGGATTTCCATTTTCTTTATGTTGGGGTGTAATGCATACTGAAGGCTGTAGTCTTTGTTTTTCATCAATAAGTGCTTCACATCCTCTTCACTTTCAGCCAATACGTTTGTGTCATCTGCATATCACAAGTTGTTAATGAGTCTTTTTCCAGTCTTAAAGCTGTATTCTCCTTCATATAGTCCAGCTTCTGAGATTATTTGCTCAGCATACAGATTGAATAAGTATGGTGAAAGGATACAGCCCTGATGCACACCTTTCCTGGAACATCCCCTTGTTCTGTTCCAGCAACTACCGCTTGGTCTATGTACAGGTTCCGCATGAGGGCAACTAAGTATTCTGGAATTCCCATTCTTTGAAAATGTTGTCCATAAATTTGTTATGATCCACATAGTCAAATGCCTTTGCACAGTCAATAAAACACAAATAAACATCTTTATGGTATTCTCTGCTTTCAGCAAGATCCATCTGAGATCTACAATGATATCCCTTGTTCCACATTCCTCTTCTGAATCCAGCTTGAATTTCTGGCATTTCCCTGTCGATGCAGTACTACAACTCTTTTTGAATTATCTTCAGCATCATTTTACTTGCATGTGATATTAATGATATTATTTGATAAGGTCCTCATTCTGTTGGATTACCTTTCTTCACAATGGGCATGTATATGGATCTCTTTCTGTTGGTTGGCCAGATAGCTAGCTGTCTTCCAAATTTATTGGCATAGATGAGTGAGCACTTCCAGGGTTGCATCCATTTGTTGAAACTTCTCAGTTGGTATTCCGTCAGTTCCTGGAGCCTTGTTTTTCGCCAGTGCCTTCAGCTTGGTCTTCTTCCCTCAGAACTATCAGTTCTTGATCATATGCTACCTCCTGAAATGGTTGAACATCAACCAATTCTTTTTGGTACAGTGACTCTGTGTGTTTCTTCCAAATTCTTTTGGTACTTCCTGCATCGTTAAATATTTTGCCCATGTAATCCTTCACTATTGCAGCTTGAGGCTTGAATATTTTCTTCAGTTCTTTCAGCTTGAGAAATGCCGAAAATGTTCTTCCCTTTTGGTTTTCTAGCTCCAGGTCTTTGCACATTTTGTCATAATAATTTACTTTGTGTTCTTGAGCCGCCCTTTGAAATCTTCTGTTGAGCTCCTTTACTTCATTTCTTCTGTTCGCTTTAGCTACTCTGTGTTCAAGAGTGAGTTTCAGTGTCTCTTCTGATATCTTTTGTGGTCTTTTCTTTCTTTCCTGCCTTTTTAATTACACTTTTCTTTCTTCGTGTACGATGTTCTTGATGTCATCCCACGATGTGTCTGGTCTTCAGACATTATAGTGTTCGGTGCATCAAATCTGTTCTTGAGATGGTCTCTAAATTCAGGTGGGATATACTCAAGGTTGAAGTTTGGCTCTTAGGGATTTGTTGTAATTTTCTTCAGCTTCAACTTGAACTCTCATATAAGCAATTTATGGTCTGTTCCACA